AGGCCCGAAACGTCAGCCTTTCTGCTCCTATGATGCTGCTTGGCCTGCTGTGTTCATCCAGCTCTGCACCTTGTTGTCTCGGATTCTCCAGCATCTGCAGTTCCTACTATCTCTAAACCCGGATGTGTCTGAGTTCAGTTTGCAGCACAGAAAACGATGGAATGTACAGTAAGAATTCACCTTTCAGGTGCTTGGGGCATCCCAATGATGAAATTCTTTAGAAGCGTCATTATTTGTAATGGAGGAAATGGAGCAGCCAACTTGCATGTAGCAGTATCTCAAAAGCAGCAGTGGCCAGGTTACCTGTTTTTGTGTTGTTATTTGAGTGGTAAATATTAGCTCAGGCACCGCGGAGAAACCCCCAGGTTGCACATTTTTGAAATGTTGTTGTGGCACGTTTTATGTCCAACTGAGAGGGTGGACATGACCTTGAGCTGACCCCAGTTCAGAAAGACAACAGCTTTTAACAAAGCTATCCTCCGAAATGGACTAGACAGCTAATCAGTTCAGGGATAGGTCTTGCCAGCATTGGCTACATCTGTGGAAGAATTAAAAATACTAACACAGATATGTACCCCCATGACACGTGTGTGTTTATCACTCACCTGACACAGCTACTTACATGGAGGATGGCCTCATACTCGGTCTCCATGTTGTCTATTTTGGACTGGAGTTCTTTGATGGTGGAATCTTTCTCCCTGATGATCTGCAGCTTCTCCTCCTGAGTCCTTGCTAATTGCTGCTGACATGATGCTGAAAACAAAGTAAGTGACTGAATTAGTTCTAACATCACGTCTTCACTTCTACAGCTTCCCCTTCCCTCATTAGACCAAATTGTAGCAAAACCCCATGGTACAATCAACATTACAAACTCCAGCACATTCCCAACACATTCCCGTCACATCACAACACAGTCCCAGCACATTCTCAGCACAGTTCAAGCACAATTTCTGAACAATCCCAACATATTCCCACCACAGTCCCAGTAGATTTAAGTGTGATCAGGTTATGCTACACATTTTCAGTCATTTAATTTTTGACAAACATTAATTTAGCCACAAATGCTAAACGTACACTCAAGTTACACACACAGATCCACGACAGATAGTCACATACACACACAGATATACACACACATACACACGCACACACACAAACAGACAGATAGACAGCCAGATAGACACACACAAACAGACAGATAGACAGCCAGATAGACACACACACACTCAATGCTGACACTGCTCTGCAGTGTGTAAATGTTGGTGCGGTTCTCAATGGCACTCACTGAGTTGTTGCTGCAGATGACTGATTTCAATCTCCAGCTGATGGACTCGCAGGTCCATGTCTGCCCTCATCGTCTTGTACTGACGGGTCATATCTGGAATGAAGAGAGAATGAAGATGACTGCATGGTCTGGGGACTGTTTACAGCATTTACTTCAGGCTTGATATATTTCTGCTCCCCCCGAGTAACAATCAGTAACAATTTGCTCTGTGTTGAGAGAATGCTGCAGTGACCGTGCCTAGTGCTGCTGCAGCTGTATCAATCAGTTGTGTTTCACCTACACGTTCAAACCTGCCTTATCTGAATTCATATCTGAGATACAGTGAAAAGTATTGTTTTACTAATAAGCAGACAAATCATACCTTACATAAGTACATAAGGGTAATGGAACAGAATGCAGAATACAGTGTTACAGAGAAGGTACAGAAATAGATCAATTCTAATACATGAGAGGTCTGTTTGTAAGTCTGATAAGAGTGGGAAAGAAGCTGTTCTTAAATCTGTTGGTATGTGTTTTCAAAGTTTTGTATCTTCTGCCTGATGGAAGAGGGCGGAAGAGAGTATAACTGCGGTGGGAGGGATCTTTGATGATGTTGGCTGCTTTCCCGAGGTAGTGGGAAGTGTAGACGGAGTCAATGGAAGGAAGGCTGGTTTTTGTGACGGACCTTTGAGGGATCCTATGCTCTCTAGGGCACTGGGCTTTTATGCTGTACTGTCAGAACCTGTATGGTCTTGATGGGCTCCTGATGCTGTGAGTCACTTCAGCTTGTTCTTAAGGCTCTGTCATCCTCGTAACTATCTATGTACACTAAGTTTCCTATCATACCAAATATATCTTACTCTGCCATCCCTCACCCTCACCCTCACCCCTCCACTGCTTGAGTGTCAGTCATGTGTTTCTATCTCTCTCTGCTGATGTCAGAGCTAGAGTTTGTGCCCTGGAGCAGATGTCTATCTGAATGATATTCTGGTGCAGTTTTTGATCGGAAATAAATGGCGATGATGTTATTTAGCCCAAAATAGGATGGTACAGGTGAGGAGAGGACACTGAGGCTGCAGCGGACCCTCTCTCTCATTATGCTGCTTCCTGTAATTAAACCTGGTCTTATCTAACCCTAACCTGATCACAACAACATTTTTGAAACTCTCAGAGGGACTTGGCAATAGATTAGGACTAATTCCTAACCTTGAAACCCTGGAATATGGGAGGGGGTTAATATCCGGATATCCTGTACCACTGTTCCAGCTCTGATTCGCTCACTTTGCACAGACCAGGTCAGGCTCCTGGAAGGTCAGTTTCTGACAAACTTGTTTCCTCGCTATTCTCAGTGGAGTTAGTGCCTCACTCTGCATCATGGGCAGATGCTAGATTCTGCTTCCATTTACTTCTCATACTTACCGGAATGGATTGCCTTCTTAACATCTTGTTCTTCAGCCAAATCATTCTTGAGAACTTGCAACTTTGCTTTCCACTCTTCTTTAACCATCAAAGCCTGTCTTGCAATATCCTTCCGCAAAACTGATAATGAAGGATCAAACATTCATACAATGCCTTTATTCCAACTCTCAGTTTATGCTAATCAATTAAGAAATACTGGAAAATAATTTATTTTGCCACTTTCAGTCCCTGGTGTTAGCATTCCAGGACAGGGACAGCAAAGGCTTAGATACAGAGTAAAACTCCCTCTACTCCGTCCCCATCAAACACTCCCAGGAAAGAACAGTATGGGGTTACATACAAAGTAAAACCTCTTCTACTGTTTAAAAATTAAAATAAAGCTAGCTTGACACTGTCTTCATCAAACATTCCCAGTACAGTTACGGCACAGGTTTAGATACAGAGTAAGGTTGCCTTTACCCTTTTAAACCGAACATAAAGCTTTCCATACTCTTCTAAACTGAAGGTAAAGCTGAAAGGAAATAGTAGGTAAAGCTCTGTCTACACTGTCCCCATCAAACACTCCAATGACAAAGTCAGCATGGGGTTAGATACAAGTAAAGCTCCCTCTATTCTTTTAAAAGTATAAGTAAAGCTCCCTCCACACTGTCCCCATCAACACTCCCAGGACAGGGACAGCACAGGGTTAAATATAGAGTGAAACTCCCTCTACACTGTCGTATCCATTACAGTGTAGTTAACCACAGATTATGTGTCAGGCATATGCAGAACACGACTGTTTAGAATTTGCGCTGGAAGGTTATTCCCTGGCCATTAAAAGAATATCCTGTTTTAAAATCTAGACTTGGAAAAGCATCTGCTGGAGTGTGGTTGCTGGTGGTGACAGTGAACCACAGAGAGTTGCAGGATTATCAATGATGGCAATGACAAGGCCTATGTGAAATTTATTATTCCAGCCCCACCAACATGCTCAGTCCATTAACCCTTCAGCTCTGCCAACAGAAATTAGCGTCCAACTTTATTTCAAATTCTGGATATAGAATGAATTATCTTACCCAACTGATCTTTGAGTGATTTAACTTGTTGAACTGTCCTCTTGTATTTTTCCTCAACGTTGTCTCCTGTAATATGTGAAACGGTGAGAGGGGCACAGAAGAAATGTCAGAAATCAGGAGAGTGAGAGAGAAGAGAGAAAGAACAAGGCACAAACAGAACAAAATTGCTAGACGTTCTATTGTCAGATAACATTCCAAATTCATGTGCAAATCAAAAGTTTGTTTGTTTTGAGGTTCCCTTATCAATAGGAACTATAGATTACAGCATGAAGTCATTACTGAATTGGCTCAATTCCCCAGGGCCTCTGTGATGGATGGGAAAGTCTGGCCAGAAAATTACCCTCACCTGCCCTGGGGCACACTGACTCCAATCAGGAGTAACAGAAGACAAGGTTCAAACAATATCTCTGAATTGGGAGCCAGAGTAGAGCCTACTTCACCATTCAATCAGATCAAAAGTGATCTAACTGCAACCACAAGTCCACTTTCCTGCCTACCCCCATGCTCATTTCACACTCTCATCAATCTATTTCAGTCAGTCTAAAAAATATTCAAAGTATCAGCTTCTAATGCTTTCTGGAGAAGAAAATTCCACAGACTTAGAACCCTCAGAGAAAAAAAAAATCACTTCATCTCTCTCTTAAATGGGAGACCCTTACTTTTAAACTGTGTCCCCTAGTTCTAGACCCTAGGAGACACATCCTTTCAGCATTCACCCTGTAAAGTGCCCTCATGATCCTATATGTTTCAATAAGCTCACCTCTCAGTCTTCTAAACCCTAACGGGTACAGGCCTAACCATTGCTCATAGAATAACCCTGTCATCCCAGGTATCAGTCAAGTCAACCTTCTCCAAACTGCTTCCATCACAATACTGCTCTTTCTAAATCATGACATCAAAATCATACACAGAATTCTGGATGTGGTCTCACCAATATCCTGTAAAACTGAAGTAAAAAATTTATATTCCATTGCCTGTACGATTAAAACAAAATAACTGAGGTACTCTGAATGGGTTAAATACTAAATGGAAAAATACTCCCAAACAACTGCAGATGCTGGAAATCAGAAACAAAAACCAGAAATTGCTGTAAAACCTGAGCAGGTCAGACAGCATCTGTGGAGTGAAAGCAGAGTTAACCTCTGAGGTCCAGTGAGTGAAGAAGGGTCGCTGGACCTGAAACGTTGACCCTGTGTTCTCTCCATAGATGCTGCCAGACCTGCTGAGCTTTTCCAGCAATTTCAATTTTTGTTTACTCTGAATGGGTTTTTGTTTCACATCATTCACTGCCTTGTGCATTTTATAAAATATTTGTCAGGCTCAGTTGAAAATGAATCTTCCACAACATAAAAAAAATTCTGACTCACTGAAATTACACAGACACCCATTTAAGTAGTTTAAAGTTTTTCTTATCCATTGAGTAGTGGTGAGTCTCATAGCCTGTCTGAACTGTATGACTGCTGCCCCAGTTTAAAGAGATGGTGGAGAGGCAATTTTGAGCCCAGGTTCCTGCTGGATTTGATGATGGTAATCAGGAGGTTATATGAATCTTGGGACATAATAAAGCATCTCACAGAAGGAGAATGGCTACTGTTAATTTAAGTCAGTCATTTGTCGAGATTAGACCAACTGACGTCTTCTGCCGGTGAACTGTTCCTGCATGTGCTCCCAGCCACCACTGAAATCTCTGCTTGTCACATTTGGTGGCAGTGTGATGATATTAGATGAATATTGATGGGTAGGTACATCAGGTTTATGTACATGGTCCTGAGCAGGTGAACCAGAACTGATCACAAAGGCACAGGCAGGAAGTGACCAGCTGTATCATCAAACTTGGTCACATGGTGTGTAAAAACTCCCCAAATGCCCCCTTTTTGCTTCCATCTTTCCCTCATCCTCAGATGTTATATGATCTACCAATGAGGCAACACAACGGAGATGAAACCCTGGCCATAAGGGAAATAATAAGTTAAGGTTTCGCTCCAAACTCCTCAGATAATTTGAGTTTGATGCTGATCTCACACTGTGGAGTGTTACACTGCAATGTACTTGTGAGGAAATACCAACTGAAATGTTACTATTTATTCTGCTCTTCACTCACCTTCTGCTTCTTTCATCACTTTCTTTATCTTTCCCTTATTCTTAGGTGGCATTTTCCTCAAATATCCTGAACCTGCCAAGAAACAAATAAATATGTTCCTGTGAAGGAGGAGGCTGGAACTGGTGGTTACATTTGGCAATGTGGTTCCTGTGTTTGTTACCTGTGACTGTATTGCTAACACACTCACTTTCTGAGGCAGGAGAATTCAAGTCCAGACACCAATCCCAGAGATTGCTGCACAAAATCTTGTCCAACCTTACAGAGCAATGTGGATGTAGTGACAGACAGTCGGAGGGTCAGTACTGAGGGAGAGCCGCACTGTCGGAGGGACAGTAATGAGGGAGTGCCGCACTGTCGGAGGGACAGTAATGAGGGAGTGCCGCACTGTCGGAGAGTCAGGGCTGCATTGTCGGAGGGTCAGCGCTGAGGGAGCGCCGCACTGTCGGAGGGTCAGCGCTGAGGGAGCGCCGCACTGTCGGACGGTCAGCGCTGAGGGAGCGCCGCACTGTCGGACGGTCAGCGCTGAGGGAGCGCCGCACTGTCGGACGGTCAGTGCTGTGGGGGTACCACACTTTTGCAGGGTCAGTGTTAAGGGCATGTCCCACTGTTGGAGGGTCAGTGCTAAGGAAGTGCTACGCTTTCAGAGGGTCAGTGGTGAGGGAGTGCCACACTATTGGTTTTGTCATTCAGATGGGACTCTAAATCAAGAGACAACAAGGTGCAGGGCTGGATGAACACAGCAGGCCAAGCAGCATCATAGGAGCAGAGAGGCTGACGTTTCGGGCCTAGACCCTTCATCAGAAAAGGGGGAGGGGAAGGGGGTTCTGAAATAAATAGGGAGAGAGGGGGAGGCGGATAGAAGATGGATAGAGGAGAGGAAACAAACAGGTCGAAGAGGCGGGGATGGGGCCAGTAAAGGTGAGTGTAGGTGGGGAGTTAGGGAGGGGATAGGTCAGTCCAGGGAGGACGGACAGGTCAAGGGGGCGGGATGAGGTTAGTCGGTAGGAGATGGAGGTGCGGCTTGAGGTGGGAGGAGGGGATAGGTGGGAGGAAGAACAGGTTAGGGAGGCAGGGACAAGCTGGACTGGTTTTGGGATGCGGTAGGGGGAGGGGAGATTTTGAAACTTGTGAAATCCACATTGATACCATTGGGCTGCAGGGTTCCCAAGCGGAATATGAGTTGCTGTTCCTGCAACCTTTTTGCTCTTTCAAGAAGGTGCAAAGGTCCCATTGCTTTATTTTGAAAAATGGTTTGGGAAGAATGGTTTCTGCCAGTATCCAGGCCCATATCTGGTAATATCACAAAAGCACATTACCTGACTGATGACATTGCTGTTTATGGGAGCTTCCTGTGTGTAAATTGGTTCCTTTGTGCCTACATTGCACAATTACAGAATTGCTACAATGCACAAAGAATCAATGTGGTCATTGTGTTTGCACTGGCTCTCTGCATGACCATCTCACCCAGTGCCATTCTTCTACTTTCCTTCTGTCACCCTGCACATTGATCCTTTGACAATAACACTTTTTGAACCTACCTTGACGACACCTTAGAGCAGCACATTCTAAACTGTAACCACTTGTTTTTCCTTGTTTGCTTTTACTTGTTACAAGAATTACTTTAAATTTGTGCTCACTTGACCCTTCCATGGATGAAAACGTTTTCTCCCTGTTTACTTTGTCCACGTTCTTCAAGAATTTGAATATTTCAATATGATCTCCTCTGCTTTCTCTTCTCCTAGAAGAACAGTCTCAACTTGAATCTAGCTTTATAAATGAAATTATGATCTTAAGAATGACTTCAAAAAGTACTTATCGTACTGATTGAAAAGTACTATTGCATGCTCCGAGATTGTGAAATATATGACATAAATACATTTTTAAAATTAAGTTTATGTCTTGCATGTAATTTCCTGCAGTGACCTCCCTTGTCTACTGACAGGGCTGAGGTAACAATGCAGCCACCTCCACCATATCGGACAAGGAGCCATCTTTCACATGTGAATGTAGACACTGAATATTAAGAAGTTATTTAATGTGTGGGTCATCATGTGGGGGTCTCTCTCTCACACACACACACACACACACACACACACGGGCCAGCATTTATTGCTATCCCTAATTGCTGTTGAGAA